TAATTCAACTTAAGATTCTTTGTCAAGATCCATGTACTCCAAAGTAGTACTTTTTCTCTTCAGATTTCCTCTACATGTACAAATTGCAGTGTGTTTTAAGACATTACAAAGTAATATGTATTTTAGACTTCTACTGAGTCCCAGTAAGCCATTTCAGGGGCACATTGAAGTATCATTAAATCATAAGTTAGCACTGATGAAGGGTCATATCTTCTGGGATAAAGGTGTAAAGAATTAAAGTATTGAAGAATTTTCCTAGTAGACCTATAAATAAATACTTTAGAACACAAATCTATACCCAGTGTTAGTTGCTTTTTGAAATTATTTTGTGCTTTTAACAAAAAGGATAGAACCAAAGGAGTTTCAGAATAGGTGTTTGAAGCTTTCACCCCCATTGAGGTATATAGCAATTGAAATTTGAGAATTATTGTTAAGTAGGAAGGGATTTAAATAAATGACTTTCCTTGAAACCACTGTTACTATTCAAGATGATTATAAGGTTTTACTGTTAATATATAAAAATGACTGGTAGTTTTTAACCATATATTTGGGGCCCTTCAGCCATTAGTTGTGATGATATTTGATAGTTAAATAATAGTCAAAAATAGTTCAGTTTACATTTAATCTTACATGTCTCACATATTTCTAAATGGTGTTGAAAGTAGAAGGAATTGTTAGTGAGAACCATTGTCATTTCTCAGACTTTGCATTATATTTTGTCTGGCATGCATAACATCCTAGGATAGAAACATTCTTAATGTTGACTCCATTATTTTAACTTTTCTTGTAGGTATTCAGATTCTGTAAATCCAAGTGTCATAAAAACTTTAAAAAGAAGCGGAATCCTCGCAAGGTCAGGTGGACTAAAGCATTCCGTAAAGCAGCTGGTAAAGAGCTTACAGTGGTGAGTATAGTTAATTTTAACTTTTGTGTGGGAGGGTTATTATTAGGTATTAAATGTAATTTAACTATAACAAGACTTTCTATGATAAGATTGGTGAGTGATTTATTTGTATTTGGCTATTGTAATAATATTCTCACATAATCCTAAAAACCATAAATCTGTAGAATTCTGTAAAGGAAAAAAATTCCTAATTCAATTTATGGAAGTGATTTTCCTTATTCTCAAAAAACCATTTTTTAGCTCCTGCAAACAAAAGGGAAAATCATTTAAATGGATTGGGGTGAAGTTAGAAATTGCTACTCAAGGATTTTGAGAGGAAGCTAAGAGATAAAAGGATTCCTGAATACCATTGAAGGCTCTGATGAGATTTGTTGTAGACTCATTTGTTAGTTTCTGGATTTCCTTACAGGACTTTGAGAGCAGAGAAGTGTGTTGATTGAAGGAGGAATAGTGGGAAGTCAGGGGTGAGGGAATTTCATGCATGAGTGTCCATCATCAGGTTGTTGTTACTGAGTTGGTAGAAGGGCCTGGTGAAACTTGTCCACATTTGACCCCTATAAAAGGAGGACGTGAAAGCTGCTGCACAAGCTACCTTTGAAGGAGGAAGATCTTTAAACTGTTCCTTCCCTCCATGACTTCCTCTTTCCCACCTCTCTACTCCTTTAAGGGCAGTTTCTAAGCAGTTGCTATGAAGCCCCTTCCTGGCTTCATTTTCAACGAATGGGAAGAATATGTTTTGACAAGATGCAAAGCCAAATCACATTTATTTATTTTTTTTTTAAGATTTTATTTATTTATTTGACAGAGCGAGAGAGCACAAGCAGGGGGAACAGTAGAGGGAGAGGGAGAAGCAGGCTCCCCGCCAAGCAGGGAGCCCGATGCGGGACTCGATCCCAGGACCCTGGGATCATGACCTGAGCCGAAGGCAGATGCTTAACCATCTGAGCCACTCAGGCTCCCCCCAAATCACAATAATAATTTCCAGTATGGACAAGAATAAACAGCACTTCAAATGCAAGTGACAACTGCATGAGTGAAGAAAGGATGCCAGTCACAGTCATTTGCTGGTGACCAGTTACCTTGTCATTGCTGAGGTTATTGTGATTGAACAGGTCATGTGTGTATAATGAAATAGGTAAATACAGAGTTAGTGCTGTTCCATTTGCCTATCTCAGATAAATTTGAAAACTAAGAAATAGACCTGTAGTTTTTCTAAGAAACCTGTAGCGTTTCTAAAATTGTTTCACATGTTTTAAGGTAAATAGGATTTATTAACGGTCAAAATACCAACTACATTTAGAGGGGACCTGAAAAATTTCTGGGAGAAAATTTGTCATGCAGAGCAGCACCACATTTGAAGATGTGTAGTTGTACACCTTTATGCTATAATAAAGGTATATAAATACTGAAATATATAAACATGATAGGTATATAGGTTGAACAATATGAAGTTCTCAATGTTTAACTCTTTTTTGATCTATGAAAAGTGGTAATTCATATGGTTCAGCCTAATAGAAAGTTTTCTGCCTGTGAGTCTCATCTAGGAATGGGAAATTAGGGAAGCCTCTTCAGTTTGTTTGAAATCTCCGTGATTGTTATATGACCCTCTGAAGAATGGGGCTGATACCCTCCTCCTCTTTTCTTAAAAATTACTTGTATATAGATTGATATTTTCAGTAGGGCTGTCTTGTATATCTGGTGTGTAAAGGAGAAGTAGTATGAAAACTTTGGCGTTTGCTAGGGTCACCCTGGGGAAATCTTAATATGTGTCTGTGGTTTGAAACACAACTCTTGTGACAAGGAGGGTAAGTTTTTAAGAAATGTTTCTTTTCTCATCTATGGGTAGGAGAATGAGTTTTGTGTTTGTTATGTGTAATCTTTATCCAAATCAATTTCCCTTTTATTTGTGGCTAATGAAAATAAACAAGTAAAGCAGGGAAAAAAAAAAAAAAAAAGAAATGTTTCTTTTGTATCTCTCTTAAAACCATATTTTCCCCTTTCTTACAGGATAATTCATTTGAATTTGAAAAACGTAGAAATGAACCTGTCAAATACCAGCGAGAGTTATGGAATAAAACTAGTAAGTTACAAAGAATTATCAAGAATTTTCAGGAGAAATTATTTTGGGATATTACTTTGAATTTAATGTTTAAATATGAATATTCTTTTCATTGGTTAGCTTTTATTCTTAATTTTCATTTTAATGGTTCTGTTGTAGTTGCATCTTTTATGATAAGCTGCCCCAAATTTTTTTCAGAATTGGCTCATATATCCATTATAAAAATAACGTAGGGGCTCATAGGTGGCTCAGTTAGTTAAGCGACCAACTATTGGTTTCAGCTCAGGTCATGCTGTCCGGGTCGTGGGATCGAGCCCCACGTTGGGCTCTGCACTCAGTGTGGAGTCTGCCGGAGATTCTCTCCTCCTCCCTCTGCTCCCCTGCTCACTCCTCTTTAAAATAAATAAAATCTTTAAAAAAGTGTAATTATTAGATTCGATATTATTTGGAGTGTCTATACAGAGATATAAAAAGATCTAAAAATCTGAGAAGAATAGAGGTGGAGAATTCTTTTTTGGGGTGAGTGTGGCATAGTTAAAATATACACAAAACCTAACATACTTTACAAGTTTAAATAATTTGGTTTAGGGATATAAACATTATATTCTGTATACCTTATGAAATGTAATGCTTCTGTAAAATTAAAAAGTACAGCACTTAAGGTGATAATTATATTTCCTAAGAGAACTTCTAAGTGCATGACTTAGGTATAAATCAAGCTATAGGCTACTGAAGTTAAAAGCAAGGATAACTAGTCCTTGTCTTTTTTCATTTTTCTGAAGCAGGCAGAGACTAATGAAAAAAAAAATCCCATATGTAGTAAAACTAAATTCCTTAAGCTAGCTTGTAGATGCCCCTATGTGTGTGTTTGAGGCCCTTGGCCTTGACTTTTCTTCTCCCTGCAGCTGTCTTATGCAGTCTTTAGCCATTTCTAGGCTTGGGTGTAGAGGTGATATAGTTGGTTTGTTAATTAGAAGTCCCCAGGGCTCAGAGTCCTGTAGACTTTATCAGTTTTTTTTTTTCTTTTAAGATTTTATTTATTTGACAGAGAGTGGGGGGAGGGGAATGGGAGAGAGCAAAGCAGGCTCCCTGCTGAGCAGGCCCCCCTCCCTCCGCCTTTCTCAATGCAGGGCTCAATCCTAAAACCCTGGAATCATGACCTGAGCTGAAGGCATACACTTAACCGACTGAGCCACCCAGGTGCCCCGACTTTATCAGATTTGAATGGATCATAGGCATGGCATCCTTTTCATCACCTTTTGCCCAATCATAGCACTGCAGGGGAGGAATTGAAAAATTAGGGTCTTTGTGGTAGTATTTGTCACCCTCTAAAGCTTTTTATCTTCCTAGACCATGTGGAGAAATCAGAGTCCAGTTTTGGAATTGCATTTTCCACATGGCCTTAAGTATTTTGACTTTTTGTGTTTTGTTTTTTTAAATAAAGTCTTTCCTTCTGTTTTGTAATTAGAGGAAGAGTTAATTTCTGAAAAGTTGATTTTACTAGGTTTATTTGGTAAGGAAATAACACTGATTCAAACTCAAGGATTTCTGGAGAGATTAATAGGATTCTTTTTTTTAATTGAGGTATAATTGACATATAACATTTGTTTAAGATGTACAACATAATGATTTGATATTTGCATATATTGTGAAATGATCACAGTAAGTCTAGTTAACATCTATCACCACACATTTTTGATAAGAATTCTTATGATTCTAAAAGGCAAACTTGTCAAGGACATTATTAGAAGGTCCTAAAGCATTTCTATATCCCATAGAATTTTATTTAATTTTGGCCTTTGTTTTCTTTTTTGTTACTATCTGGTAGCCGCTTCAGATTTGATTTCCCACAACCCCTATTTCAATATCATAGGTCTGTAAGCTAATCTGTTGACAATAGTTTTATATTCATTGCTTACATTTTTGAATCATGTGAAGATGTGGACTGAGCAACCTTTGTTAAGATGCTGATGTCAACAGTAGGAGAACTTCAAAAACAAGAATACTGGGAAGAATAGTTTGTTTTTATCCGTCATGTCTCTGTATTTCAGATCAGTTTTTTAACATCAGGTGCTTCTTGCATTTAAAATTTTCCAGTAATCTGGAATATTCGGAAATACAGTGTCTTACTGTTTGGAAAGGATTTACCTGCCACTTCTTTGTTTATTTCCTTGCTGAGTAACTTTAAGGTGTAGAAATACTTTTGAGTACTGGATCTTGGTCTTATCAATTTTTGTTGAAAGGCAAAGAAAGGAAAACTTATATATCTAGCATATTTAGCATGTGCAGATTTAGAGTTGACTTTCTCTTAGACTATTCATACAAACATCATAGTAATACCAGCGGCCCCATGGGGCCTTCTGGGGAGTCTTGTTAAAATGCAGATTTTGGTGGGGGGTGGGGTGGGAGGGATGGGGTGACTGGGTGATAGACACTGGGGAGGGTACGTGCTCTGTTAAGCACTGTGAATTGTGCAGGACTGTTGAATCTCAGATCTGTACCTCTGAGACAAATAATGCAAGAT